AACCAAGATTCATGCCACTGCACTCCAGCCTGGGCAACAACAGTGAAATGCTATCTCAAAAAAAAAAAAAATCGTAAGCCAAAGCTGCTTTAACAGCTGCTCCCTTGGGGGGGCATGAATTCCCTAGTTCACTTAATGTCCCAAACCAATCTATCATTACTTACTAAATATTCATCTAGCCCTTGCAAGCATTAAAATTCACAATGCTCAGCCTAAATAGGTTTACTGAGTGATTAATGAACTCAGATCACAACTTTATTAAAGATAAGGCTGGTGCTGATGATAATGAAAACAACAACAATAACACTTAATACTTACTGTGAGCCAAGTCTTGTTAAAGCAGAAACACATTATACCTATGTATATATGCTATTACTATTCCCAATTTACAGATGAGAAAACGAAGGCACAAAGAAGTTAGGCAAGTTGGCCAAGATCAAAACACCAATACACAGTACAGTCAAAATTCAAAATCAACCTAACTCTAGTAATCACTGTTAACTCCTACAATATAATCCTTTAGACTAAAATCCTTTCCTTTGTGACCAACTGAACTGATTATTTGGAAAAATAATCAAAACAAAATTATAGAACCTACTCTTTCTTTACATGAAGGAATGACTAACAAGCAAACCAAAGTTCATCTGAAGGCAGATGGTATTTCTGAAGCTTATCTTGCCACAAAATGACAAAGAAAAGATTGTAGAATCCGATAAACATTTTCTCAGAAAGCAAGCAAATTATTAGATATTTCTGGAGTTAAGCTCAATATGTAGATGAATTCTTAACCTGTAAGTGATGACATAGTATTAAAATTCCTCTCTTTCCTGGGATAGAAGGATATAGCTATTACGGTAAGCAATTTCCAGACATGAAAAAAAAAAACAATGCAACTTGCTGGAGGGCAGAGATTGCTTTTTCACCATGAATCCCTGCAATGTCTAGCACAGAGGGGCACTTAGAATACATTGAATTATGTTAGGCTGGGTGCAGTGGCTCACACCTGTAATCCCAGCACTTTAGGAGGCCAAGGCAGGTGGATCACCTAAGGTCAGTTCAAGACCAGCCTGGCCAACATGATGAAATTCCATTTCTAGTAAAAATATAAAAATTAGATAGGCATGGTGGTGAGCACCTGTAATCTCAGCTACCCAGGAGGGTGAAGCTGTTGCAGTGAGCCAAGATTGCGCCACTGCACTCCAGCCTGGGCAAGAGAGTGAGACTCTGTCTCGGAAAAAAAAAAATACATTTGGCCAGACACAGTGGCTTACGCCTGTAATCCCAGAATATTAGGGGGCCGAAGTGAGTGGATCATTTGAAGTCAGGAGCTTGAGACCAACCTGACCAACATGGTGAAACCCCATCTCTTAAAAATACAAAATTAGCTGGGCATGATAGCACAAGCCTATAATCCCAGCTACTTGGGAGGCTCAGGCAGGAGAACTGCTTGAACCCAGGAGGCAGAGGTTGCAGTGAGCCGAGATCACACCACTGCACTCCATCCTGGGCAACAAGAGCAAAACTCCATCTCAAAAGAGAGGGGAAAAAAAAAGAGGCCGGACATGGTGGCTCATGTCTGTAATCCCAGCACTTTGGGAGGCCAAGGCAGGCAGATCATGAGGTCAGGAGATCCAGACCATCCTGGCCAACATGGTGAAACCCTGTCTCCACTAATACACAAAAAAAATTTGCCAGGTGTGGTGGAGCATGCCTGTAGTCCCAGCTACTCAGGAGGCTTAAGCAGGGGAATTGCTTGAACCAGGAGGCAGAGGCTGCAGTGAGCCGAGATCACATCACAGCACTCCAATCTGGTGACAGAGCAAGACTCCATCTCAAAAAAAAAAAAAAAACCACATTCAACTATGTTAAAGAAACCAAAAAACCTTAATTTCTTAAATTGCAATGCATGAAACTCTTATAACATTTTAACATTTATCTTCTTGCTTTTTATAATAATCAATCACCGGCAAGCAAGTTTGTTTTCCTGAGAAAATCCTTGGAGTTTTATATTTGAGTGAGTTCCCCTTGGAACCTAGCACAACAGCAGCTCAATAGCTCAAAAGATACTTGTCAAATATTACAAACTTAAACTTTCCATACTTATGTTTCCTACAGGTCTCTCTTGGTGCCAGTGTTTAAAGTAGAACTTAAAATAACATGGTTTCTGATTTAAAAGCACTGGATATTATGAAGCCTTATTATATTTCTAGTATCAGTCATATATTGTGATGTCAACAAAGCCGTGAAAAATCAGTGAGTTAGCACATAAAGCACAGAATATAATAGAGTGAGCTGGAAAGAATCTGAGAAATCACAATCAAAATATTCAATAGATAAGTGAGGAAACCAGGCCCCGGGAGATTTTAGTGAACTGCCCAAGATCACAGAATTTAAGTGACCAGCAATACCAAGGCTAGAACCCAGGTCTCCTGAATGTTGGCTCAAATATCTATCCACAAAGAACTGCTTTGTGAGCTCAAGATGAAACGAATATGCTGAGAAATATTTTAAAGATATTTAAAATGCTTTAATAATACTTTAAAATATTTTTTAAATTGCTTTATAGTAGCTATCACAAATCATCCCACCATTTCCTTCCTTCCTTCCTCTTAATTATAAAAAAGAACAGGGCCAGGCTCAGTGGCTTGTGCCTATAATCCCAGCACTTTGGGAGGCCAAGGTGGGTTGGATCACCTGAGGTCAGGAGTTCAAGATCAGCCTGGCCAACATGGGTGAAACCCCATCTCTATCAAAAATACAAAATTTGCCGGGTGTGGTGGTACATGCTTGTAGTCCCAGCTACTCAGAGGCTGAGACAGGAGAATTGCTTGAACCCAGGAGACAGAAGCTACAGTGAGCCAAGATCATGCTACTGTATCTAGCCTGGGCAAGAGACTCCATCTAAAAAAAAAAAATATTTCCTTTGGATATATATCCAGAAGTGGCATTGCTGGATCATATTTTAGTTCTATTTTACCACTATCTTCCTATTCCACTTTCTTATCTAACAATTCACCTGCTCAACTTCATTCACTCCCTATTCTTACTGCTTAACTTTAGGTACTACTTTTTTTTCTTATCCAGTAGTCTTCCTTCTCTACTGACCTTTTAAAGTGATCTGTCTTGTCCTCATGTTTTCCTTCACAACATTATTGTCAAATTCTCTCACCTTGTGGATCTAGATAACATTTTTTTTCTTTTGTCTTGGGACAGAGTCTCACTCTGTTGCCCAGGCTGGAGTGCAGCAGCACAGTCTTAGCTCACTGCAGCTTCCACCTCGTGGGTTCAAGTGATTTTCCTACTTCAGTCACACAAGTAGCTGGGACTACAGGCACATGCCACCATACCCCACTAACTTTTGTATTCTTAGCAGAGATGGGGTTTCACCATGTTGGCCAGGACGGGTTCCATCTCTTGACCTCATGATCAGCCTGCCTCAGCCTCCCAAAGTGCTGGGATTACAGGCATGAGCCACCGAACCCAGGCTGATAACATTTTTTTTTTGAGATGGAGTCTTGCTCTATCGCCAGGCTAGAGTGCAGTGGTGTGATCCCGGCTCACGCCAACTTCCATTTTCTGGTTTCAAGCAATTCTCCTGCCTCACCCTCCCAAGTAGCTGGGACTACAGACATGCACCACCACACCTGGCTAATTTTTTTTGCATTTTTAGTAGAGATGGGGTTTCACCATGTTGGCCAGGGTGGTCTCCATCTCTTGACCTTGTGATCCACCTGCCTCGGTCTCCCAAAGTGCTGGGATTACAGGTGTGAGCCACCTCGTCCAGCCCTGATAACATTTTAAGTCACTAATTCATTTCCTTTTCTAAAGATTTAATAGGTGTTATTTTATTTGGTCCTCTCAACAATGCCAGGGAGGGAGATGGGAATCAATACTTTTTTTTCTTTTTTTGAGGCAAAGTCTCGCTCTATCACCAGGCTGCAGTGCAGTGTCACAATCTAGGCTCACTGCAACATCTACCTCTCAGGTTCAAGTGATTCTCTTGCCTCAGCCTCCCGAGTAGCCGCGACTACAGGCATGTGCCACCATGCCCAGCTAAATTTTATATTTTCAGTAGAAACGGGGTTTCACCATGTTGGCCAGGATGGTCTCGATCTCTTGACCTCATGATCCACCCGCCTTGGCCTCCAAAGTTCTTGGATTACAGGCATGAGCCGGCATGCCCAGCCAATACGCACCTATCTTACAGATGCATAAACTGAGGTCTGGCAAGATTAAATAACTTGCTGAAAGTCACACAGCTTGTCAGTAGCAAATCAAATCAGAACCTAGATCTTTTCTTTCCAAGTCCTCTATTCTTTCTCCACTGAACCATGCTGTCTTTTTTGAACCCAGGAGGCAGAAGCAGATGGGGTCTCACTCTGTCACCCAGGCTGGACTGCAGTAACGCCATCATGGCTCACTGCAGCCTCAACTTCCTGAGTTCAAGTGATGCTCCTATGTCAGCCTCCCAAACAGCTAGGACAACAGATACATGCCACCAACACACCATTGATTTTTTTTTTTTAATTTTGTGTGAAGTCAGGGTCTTGCCATGTTGTCCAGGCTAGTCTCACATTCTTGGGTTCAAGTGATCCTCCCACCTCAGCCCCACAAAGTGCTGGAATTACAGGCATGAGCCACTGCACCTGTCCATGTTGTCTTCTTTTTAATTCCCCACCTCTTAACCCTACACACGCGTATGTCTAGACCATATACAGAGATAACTGTGCATAAAACAACACAAACAGAAAAAGTACGTGTATGTGTATGTGTAAGGAACCTACAAAAACAGAAAAGTCAGAAGACTCAAATTAAGAGCTCACAGGCTAATCCCTGCAGAGACAGCTTTGGGCTTCAGAACCAAGTGAAACTGCCTATTTGTTCAACCAACTGATACAGCTAGCATCAACACTGCTCTCTGCTCACAGCAGTTATATGACCAGAGCTTGGCCTCTGCAACACTCTTGTCCCCAAATTTCTCTCACAGGATATCACCATACCTAAAGTTCTCACAGTTTGAGTCACTTCCTTGGGTTAAGGCGTTGTCTCCAGAAGGCCACTGTGAAATGCATGGTACCTGAGAAAGGATGGAGAGTCCATTAACACATTACTTCTATAGTTAAACATATCAGATCTGCAATGACCTTGGGACTCTAAAAGCACAAAGTCTCTTTTAAAAATTTCATGGGATAGACAATTTTTAATGGGGAAGACAGGATAAAGGAAAGAATTGGGAGAAAATGATTCATACATAGTATGGAAAGATACCAATCTGAGTATGATGGCTATTTAGCAAAATTAGGATGGCCATATAAACACACTCGGCCTATAAGGGTCACCATAATGATAGTCCCTGCAACTTGGGGACTCCTAGGGACAGGAAAAGAAAAAGCATGCCAAGGATCTGGATATAGTCAGTTCTGAAAAGAAGCAAAAGAGCTGAGCTGGCAGCAGTTTTTCAAGGACAAGTACACTGCTAGACTGGAGGAGGACAGAGGCAGGAACAGATTCTGGTTAACTGCTTCTAGTTATGAGGATAGTTTCCAACTTAACATTTTTAGCTGAAAGCCAACCTCCCAACCAGAGAATGCTGCAATTCAATTCTGTGAAGCCCCTAACTAATTCATACTGACTCAAAACCAGTATCATTTACAGCCATAAAAGTCAACATGCCTTTACTGAGCACTTATTATGAGCCCAGAATTTGGCTAAGTACTATAAATACAGAAAAAAATAACCTTACATACTTTTGTTTTAATTCTTATAAAAGAAACCAGTCCCCAAAATCCAGTACTGAGAGGGTTAGCAACCAGAAAGAAAGTGGCAAAACAACAAAACAGGTATTTCCTATCAGTACTAACACAAATTTCTTAAGCCAGAATAAATACAACAAAACTCATTTCTAGGCCAAAATTCCTTGTTAAACTCTTGCCTAAACAGTCAAGAGACACTGGCTAAAAATCTCCCTTTTCTTTTCTAGTCTAATATCAGCTCTTCAGCAGTGCATATTCATCTTGGTAAATCAGAGAAAACCAGACCCAGAGTTGCAAAACCTAGTTCTAGTTCTAGCTCTTACTCTTAACTAGTTTCAGGTAAATCACTTAACCTTTAAAATAAACAGGCCAGGCACAGTGGCTCACACCTATAACCCCAGCACTTTGGGAGGCCAAGGTAGGTGGATCACCTGAGGTCAGGAGTTTAAGACCAGCCTGGCCAATATGGCGAAACCCCATCTCTACTAAAAATATAAAAAATCAGTCAAGGTATGGTGGCACACGCCTGTAATCCCAGCTACTCAAGAGGCTGAGGCAGAAGAATCGCTTGAACCCGGGAGTCAGAGGTTGCAGAGAGCCAAGATCGCACTATTGCACTCCAGCTTGGGCAACAGAGTGAAACTCCGTCTCAAAACACAAACAACAACAAAACAGAAAACTGAGGGACTGGACTAATTTAAGAATAGCATATATCTGGCACATACTATGTACTACCTACTAGATAACTGTCCATAGGCGACATCACTGATCAATCATACTACAATTTCTCAGAGACCCCCTACAACCAGAATCTTTCCCAACACAGTGCTTCTGGCAGCTTCCAATCTGAGTTGGCTGATAAACCAAAATGTATTTGCCATTATGGACTAGATAATCTCTGTAATTTCTTCCAACTCTAAAACTCAATGAGCAAGTTTCTATTGAGAAAGCTGATGAGAGCAAAACACTTCCAACAAGCCTAGATCAATAGTACTGAGAGACATAAATTTCAGTCCAAACTCCAAGTTCTAATTAGCCACGTTTGGTGGCACGCACCTGTAATCCCAGCTACCTGGGGGGTCGAGGCATATGAATCACTTGAACCCAGGAGGTGGAGGTTGCAGTGAGCCGATATGGCGTCACTGCACTTCACCCTGCATGGCAGAGCGAGACTCCATCTCAAAAATAATAACTCCAAGTTCTCTTCCAAATTACACCTGACGTAGTTCTAATATCTCAAAGATGCTAATGAACAATTCACTCTCATGCTATATATAACATATATAACCTGGAAATATTCAGACTTGCTAATGGGTTCTTCTGACAGAAAAGGAGCCCTTTACCCAGACTAGCACTAAAAAAAATCCTCATCTAAAAATATGGCAACAATATTGCACTAGTAAAAAGCTAAATCCAATCCCTTGATCATCCCCAAAACCTCTCTCCAAGGTCAGGCTTTGTCACTTCTCACCTAGACTTCTGCAGCAGCTACTCTTTCATCCTTTCGCTCAACACCAGAGCAATCTTTCTTTTTTCGTTTTTTTTTTATTCACCCAAATCTCATCTTGAATCTTTTTTCGTTTTTTGATGCCTATCTTTGTCCTGCAGTACACAGTAATATTTCTAAAACACATATGTACTCACATAATTTCCCTGTCTAAAAATCTGTATCTATTTCTTTTTCTTTTTTCTTCCTTTTTATAAAGATGGAGTTTTACCATGTTGCCCAGGCTGGTTTCGAACTTCTGAGCTCCAGCAATTCATCAGCCTCAGCCTCCCAAACTGTTGGGATTACAGGCGTGAGGCACTGAGCCCAGCCCCATATCTATTTCTAACAACACAAAGTTCCAAATTGTTAGAATTATACTTGGAACTTTTAGGCAGAGCACAATGGCTCACGCCTGTAATCCCAACGCTTTGGGAGGCCAAGGTGGGAGGACCACTTGAGCACAAGAGTTCAAGACCAGCCTGGGCAACAAAGAGAGACCCTGTCTTTACAAAAAATTTTTTTAAATTAGCCAGGTGTGCTGATGCATGCCTGCTGTTACAGCTACTCAGGGAAGTTGGAGTGGGAAGATTACTTGAGCTCTGGAGGTCCTGCCACTGCACTACATCCTAGGTGACTAGGTAAGAGAGTAAGACCTAGTCTCAACAAAAACAAAAAAGAACTTTTCATATACTTGCTTCCTTTAACCTTTCTGATGTTGTGTTTCAAAATGCTCTCTTTCCCCATTCTACTCCCTACTCACCGGACTCTTTTTCTTCCATAATCCTCTGAATTTACACACAGTATTAAGTCATTCCTTCTGCCTACCCTGTCCTCTTTCCGTGCCCTTTTCACATTCCTACTCTTCATCTAAGACCCGACGTGGGTTCAGGGGCAAATCTTGCCTTTTCTAACCAATCCTCCACCCTGCCACACACACAGAATTGGCCACTTCCTCTTCTGTCTCAAAGCTTTCTGAGCTTTCCTTGGTAAGTCTACCATACCATTTTCCCTGAGTGGTTTACAAGACCATTAGAAGTACCTAAGGCATGTGTTAAAAATAAATTGGTTGGAGCCAACTCAGACCTACTAAGTCAATCTCAGAAGGTGAGATTGGAATTTCTAAGCTCTCATAATTATTCTAATGGTCAAATTTGGGGACTACTGGTTTGTCTGTCTCTCCCAATAGATGTAAAGATGTATTTTTTTAAAAAGAATGCAGAAATGTGGCTGGGTATGGTGGCTCGCACCTGTAATCCCAGCACTTTGGGAGGCTGAGGTGGGCGGATCACAAGGTCAAGAGTTTGAGACCAGCCTGGCCAATATGGTAAAACCCTGTCTCTACTAAAATTATAAAAGTCAGCTGGGCATCGTGGCGGGTGCCTGTAGTCCCAGCTACTTGGGAGGCTGAGGCAGGAGAATTGCTTGAACCCAGGAGACGGAGGTTGCAGTGAGCCAAGATCATGCTGTTGCAGTCCAGCCTAGGTGACAAAATGAGACGCCATCTCAAAAAAAAAGTAGAAATGTTTGATTCTAGAATACACTGAAGTAGTCAGACTCATTTTTTAAATTTCATATCACATCCTTGGTGACTTGCCTTATATGCTAAACATAATGGAATTCCTTCTGCATTCACAATACTTACATTCACAGTCTTTGAAGCAGAATTTCCACCTTCATTTCTAAATTTTTTTTTTTTTTTTTTTTTTT